AGAAAGAGAAAGAGAGAGGGTCGTAGTAAAAAATGAAAATTCGAACGGGTACACACGTATGACAAATGTCGACGACGTGTCTTTGACGATGCTGAGAACTGTCAACCACTTCTATCGTGTGGGGACGACTGGCTGGCAAACGAACGAGAACTGAGTAGACCGGCCGATCGCTTGCATATCTCCCCCTTCTTCCCTCTCACATAACCCTCCTCCCCTCTTCCGAACCCTCCCCCCACCGCCCATTCACCCCTCTATCCTTCTCTCTCTCTTTCTCTTTTACTCTTAAACTCTTATGTGTTCTCCCTCGGTAGCTGCTCCCTTCTTTTTCCGCTACTCTTCTTCTACCTTCTTCCCTCTCCCCTCCGATACCTCTGTTCTACTCCTTTTCTCTCTCTCTCTCTCTCTTATTCTAACCCCTCTCCCCAACACACCCCTCTTCCCTACGTGTTCACTCCATTACTACTACGTCTCTTTTTCTCCATGGCACCTTAGCGAACTTTTCCTCTTCCTTATCCTCTTTTGATTTGCGAAGGAAAAATCTTTGAGAGAGGAAGGGAGATAGAAAAGAAGAAGAAGAAGAGAGGTGAAGGGGAAGAGAAAGAGGAAAGAGGGTTGACGTGTTCGGAAAACACGGAAATCCCAATCGTCTGACTCTCCAAATGTCCTTTCGAAGTTCCACGAATTCGTTCGTGTTTTTTTGTGTGTATTTTTATGGATATACGTATTCGTGTGTGGATGGATAGGTGTGAGTGAGTGCACGTGTATATGGTTTTGTCTTTATTTATTGTTTTTTTAGTTGAACTCCTACGAACGTTATATTATTCGATATTTCCCTTTTTCTTTGCGTTTCGTTATTTTTACGATGAGAAGATAAAATTGTTTCTAACGTTAAATGAAATTATATTTCAATGGAGTAAATTTTTTTCTTTATGAATGGCGCAGTCTTAACATACACCGAGATAAAGAGAATCGTATGTGTTACGATTATGTAATTTATGCGCAATACGCGCGAACTCTAATAAGCTTATGCTTTGTGTGTTTTCTTCGGCGTACGATGAAAGAATTTCGTATTCATCGCACGATTTTTAAATTCATTCAATGTGAAATAAAAATAAAAAAATTAAAAAACGAAAGAAACGAAAGAAATAGAATTGTCATTTAATTGGGCTTGAAAGAACGAAATGTTTAATAATGTATTGTAAAATTTGATTCGTAGTATCTTCAAATGAATTTTCTTATTTCAGTTTGAGAAGTTCTAATCATTCGCGAATATGATATTCATTCTTATTCATCCATAGACAGGATGAATAACAAGCAACGTGAGTCAGAAACTCGAGACATTCCTGACTACTGAACGCAATCACTTCTTTAACGTATGCGTAATGCGAAAACAAAACTTCCGTGAATTGCAATCATCCGCGCATGCGTCAAATCAAAAGATCTCTCTCTCTCTCTCTCTCTCTCTCTTTCTATCCTCTATGAAGATTATTTTTTTCTATATTCGCGAGAGAATCGCATTAGAATGTTGAGAGAGAATGATTGATTCAGAAATGGTTTCCCTTTGATCGTTTGATCATTCAATCGTTTAATACGCAAAATGTTTTTTTCTTTTTCTTCCTAATCACATTTTATGTAAGAAGGAAAACTAGTTTATATTAATAATAATATATGATCAATTTTCGTTAATACTTTAACCATATGTCGAGTCGTTCTGTATAATCGATTTTCCTTGTTAATCATATGCGTCATTTAATTATCTAAACTTAATTTATTATTCTTGATGTTTTATACATTTTATATAAGTATCATAACAAAAAAGAATTTCGAGATGATAGATTTAAAAATAAATAAATTAATTAATTATAAACGAAACACGCGTAAATTCGCGAAAGTTTTTTACAAATTTTTATTAGGTTAAACGGACGATGCTGTTGGAAAACAAAAAAAAAACAACAAAATGGACGATAATTTGAAGGATAAGTAAATGAAAATGAAGTTCGTGTGAAAAAAACTCGAGAATTTGTCTAATAAATTTACACGAGGGATTGGAAAATGATTAAAAAACAAAACACAAAACAACAAAATGGACGATACTTTTGAAGAAAAATATATGGACAAAATTTACGATCATTTGTGTAGTAAAATAGAATGGATAAATGATATATTTATCTTTTTGTAGATCGACTGTGCAATAAATAAATTCCCCGTTTTTTCAATTATTCTCATATTATTAAAATCATAATTATCAACGTGTTTACACAAAATGTAAGTTAAAAAAAATATAGGAAAAAATAAAAACAGAAATAATAGATAAGCACAAGCCATAAAACAACAACAAAAACAACATTAACACAATCACAACACAAAACAACTAAAAAAAGAGGAAAAAAGAACATGCAATTAAACGAAATCCTTGATCAGAACGTAGATTAGAGAATCGATTAAAACGCTGTGGGTTGAAAGATAATAATCAATTTTTCTGAAAAATAAAAAATATAAATAAAAACGAAACGTTTAATTTATCTGGAAAATAAACTTATTCTATCAAACGCAATGCAGAATTCCGAGAGGAAATAAAAAATCGAAGGAGTTAATTGCCACGTGACTTGGGACCATAAAATAAAATAAAATAAAAATAAAATGGGATAAAAAAAAAGAAAAAAAAAAAAAAAAGAAAAGAAAGAAATCATTAAAAAGGCAAGGGGGGAGAGATAGTTTAGTTGAACATTGATTCTCGAATAAAAAAATAAAATAAAATAAAATAAGAAAAACAAAACAAAAGGAAAAAAAAAATAGATAATAAGAACAAAATAAAATAAAATGAATGATAAAAATGGCGAAGAGGAAGAGGAAGAGAAAAAGAGAAAGAAACAGAAAGAGAGAGAGAGAGAGAGAGAGAGAGAGAAAATGATGGCACTCACTCTGACGTAACACGAAGCAACGAACGAGACACGCGCATCCATGTACCGACACGAGAATCCACCGCGAACTACGAAATCCTCTTGGAGTTTTTCCGCAGGAGGAGTGGAGAGGGGAATTGGAAGTAGGGGAAGAGAAAGAGAGAGAGTGAGAGAGAGAGAAAGAAAGAAAGAAGCAATGCGATCTTAGCGCCGCCCTATCAGTAACTTGCTGTACTTCTTTTACCGTCTCTCCTTTCTAGCAAAATGGCTGTCCTTTTTAGCACCGTCCTTGCGCGCCACACATCTCATCTAACACTTTCAATATCTTATATCTCTATCGATTTATTTTTTTCTTTTTTTTTATTTAAATCATCTATTATTGTTGCTTCTATCTTTTATTCGTACAAATAATTAAATTCTATTATTTAAATTTGTTTTATACTAGCGTAACATAATATGTACGTAACTATTTTAATGATTTCGATTTCGATTTTCTTTTTTTGTTTCTTTCTTTTCCCTGTTTTTTTTTGTTTGTTAGATACTTTTATAAATAATTCTTTTCACGTTGATTATGTTCATCTGTCTTGTTTCTTTCTTTTAAACTTCTTGTATTTAAAAATATATATATATATAT